ATGTGGGGGGGGGGAGGAGTAATGTCCACATTGTGTGTGGCCTGTGGACCTGTGAGTTGCCCTGGTGAAGCCTATGGGTATAACAGCCTATGGGTGTGCCCCATTGATGCAGCCCGCAGGGTGCTTTGGTTCCCAGCCGCTTAGGGGTTGGACAACACTGTTCTATATAAGTCTGGTAGGATCTGTTATACGATTTCTGTAGAAATATTTAAATAGATGGGCATTTGAGGCAGAATTGTTACTCTTGGGTAATTATGCAGGTGTGCATATGCTGTCTAGATGGGTTTAATATTTGGGAAAGACAATCACCTGCTACTTAATAGGGAGGATTTTGATCAGAGGTTAGGAATTTTCTGTAAGCCCTTTTGTTGTATGTATGTAAATCACTCACCATTTCTACATGGTGTGTATGATGACCTATTTGTCTCTATTCTTTCCAGCAGAGGCTGGGACATTTTGAATTCTTTTTGCCAGTGATTATTGGGGTGTAAAAGTATGTGATTACTTTTCACTGGAATTCTCTTCATGAGAGTTTGGAGGCAGCAATCTTGTGCATTTTGGAAGATATTGGCCCTGCCATTGATGGTACTCTGAGATTCAGCTTCCCATTCATCTTTTATGATTCCTGAATTGTCTGCGGCAGCATCACTTAAAGTGGAATTGAAAGTGGCAATTTGTCTTAGGTTCACTGTTTTGGAGTCTTTGAAATTAATCTTCAAACTCAGGTCTGGGATGCTGCAGAGCTCCTTCAACTGTGCAGCTGTGGGGATGTTGTGGCACTTTAGATATTGTATAAATTCTGATCTTTGAATGTTATGGACCCCAACTGAGGCTGCTGTATGTCAGACAGGTCACTTGCTGAGTCCTGAGTTAATTGGGAAGCGTATTTGACAGGCTGATAACAGGTACTTGGGCATTTACTTAAGAGTGCAGATGGCTTATACTATACTTGAAATGAGCCTCCTGTTGTCTCACAAAAACCCAAAGGGTATGTGAAGCATGGGGTGGCTTGAAGTCTGTGAGCTACTGATCCTCTGTCATTCCATCTGCCCAGAGCTTTCTTCTGTCCCTAATTTCAGTATTTGACATGCATCATTTTGCATTTCCTGCAGATTGTACATTGTCACCTCTCCCTGCACTCCCAAATCAAATGCTTAGTGATAGAGCCACAAATGGATATAGATGCAGTGATGCTCACTGTCTTCACACAGCACTCTTAGGTACCTGTCTCCTGGAGCAGAATTTGAAACTCTAATCTAGGTTGCTAGGGAGGTGCCCCTCTCATAGGGATTCACAACCTAGATAATTCTTCTTGGGGTCAGATACTTAGATTATCCCTTTGGGAAGGGATTACTGACTGGATCCTTTTAAAATCCAGGGAGTACCCTTCACCCTAATAGCTTAGTGATTACCCCACTTGCTTAGGAAGTGCGAGACCTTTCCTGTCTTCCGTGAGAGCCAGAGCCACGAGGCTGTAGGTTAGGGTGTGGTGAGGTTATGCTCTAGCTATTCTGTTGAAGCTGGGATAGACAGCTAAGCAAAGAAAAGCCCAGAGAAAGAGTACACCCAAGAAGGAATATGAGTGTCAAAACTGAGGGAGCAGGAGCCGCTCATCAGGAGCGGGGCTGTTGGGTTCTGGTCTCTGCTCCCAAGAGTGATTCAGTACGGGGTCCAATTACTGTTTGAAATAGGAGCAGGGATCAGAATCCAGGAGTGACCCATCTGCCCGCTGCAACTGAGTGCCACAACCACTATGTTGCAAAGTCAAGCATCCTCTTGTGTGAGAACTCTCCCTGTTTTTGTGCATCCGGGGGCATGGAAATACATAACACTTAGGGTGGTTTGAATGAGACTTAAACCTAAAGCGGGTGGATATGCAAGCCTGTTAAACTCATTTAAGTCTGGCTGGAACAGTACATAGGTGTACCTGGAAAATCCAGTACTATTGTGAATTGGTTCACTTTTGTGTGGAAACTAAGTGCTTGAGGACAGTGCTGCTCAGTGTTTTTGCTGGGTGGCTAGATGGACAATGTCTGGTCTGTCTGTGGGCCATATCCATCCGGTGGTCCCAATCTAGTGCCCAGGGCAGGTGTAGAGGAGGCAGGGACAGCCTGTCCTCAATCTAGCCATGTGTTGGATGGGGGCTTTGCCTGGCCTCAACCCGGCTGTGTGGAGGGAAGGGGATGTGGCTCAGCCCTGATCTGGGCTTGCAGGGGGAGGGGCTGGCCCAGCTCCAATCTGCTGTGCAGGGCTTGGGAATTCGGCAGCATGAAAGTGGTGCCAATCTGCTGCAAATTTCCTGACTCTCTGCAAGCCCCTGGGCTGGACTCCATGGTCCTAGGCATAGGTGACTGGTAAGGAGGGTCCGGGGGGGTGGGGGGGAAATGTTGTTGCCTGGCCTCCAGCAGCAGAACTGCCCCCTTTATATGGGCAGCTCCAGCTCCAAAATGGCTGCCCTAATCAGGCACCTGGCAGCTGCCAGCTCCATGCCCTTAAAGTGGCAGGCACCCACAGTGCCCTGCCACAGGCCAGAACTCTACTGTCCACCTTTTTTCTCTTTTTGTTGTCACATCAAATCAATGATCTCCTTCACAGCACTCATTCAGTAAAAAATATCTTTCTAACAACCAGCAGTATCTTCAAGCCCAACTCAACCACAGTCCATCATCATGCCCCACTCCACTTGCAGCACCAGGGAACGGAAAAGCATGGGTCCAAGTACTGTCTCCACTCCCCTCCACCCAAAGTAAGTCAAGCACAATGTAGATTTTAGTCATTTCGAGGCTACTGAAATTTTTGAACTCATGTTTATGTAGCCCAGGTGCACCAGGGTAAGTGCTTCCTCCTTCAGTGCAAGGGAAGTGTTGCCAAGGCAGGAGAGCTGTGAGAGGGATCTGTGAATGCAGGACAGCTCCCTCTATTCCCTAAAGAGTCAGGCCAGGGCAATAATTAACTATATACAGATTTATTAATATATACAGAACCAAAAGAAATTGTTATTGATAAACATATGTACACAAATATGCTATTATCATATAATGCTATACCCTGTAAATGAAGGCAAGAAGATTACTCCACCTCAAGAGGCATCAAACAATACATAGGTAAACAGTTGGTCTGAAACAGGGAAGCAACAGGTAAGTACAGGTAAGTAGCAAGAAAGGGTCTCAGCAGAGCCTCAGTAAGAATCATATACTATACACTCTATTAAACTACAAATATACAAATATAAAAATACACAAAATATAAGGCACCCTCTTACAAAATGTAAGGTGCTTGACAGTGCAAATGAATGCTTTAAGGGACACCAAGGTCCAGGCTGTTCTGAAGCCATGGCTGTACCCCAGTGACAAGGTGGGGGTCTTCCTTGCCCAGTCAGAATATCCCTTGAGGAAGAAAACCTTAAAAACCTGGGAAGCCCCACCTCTTCAGGGCTTTCTCTCAAGAGGCTAGTCTCACAGATGTGGGGTGGGGGAAAAATCCCCTGTGAAAATCCACTTCCCCAATAACTCATGACTCCAGGGTGAGGCCTCACAGCTTTTCTGGGCTCTCCGGGCCATCTGCCCAACTCAAGGCCCTGTGTACCGTCACGTGCACTGAAGGCACTGCCTTTTGCTCATAGTTGGAGACCCATGCCACCTTGTGCGGCACTGAGGTCTCTGTCCATGCCTGGACCCTCCATGCAGCATTGCCTTGTGCCAGGGGTTAGAGACCCGGGCAGCCTTGAGCAGCTCCTAAGGTCTTGGTCCACTCTCGCACCACTTTTTGCACTGACTGTACCCCGCTGCCTGGCCTCATGCCAGGGGTTAGGGACCCAAGCTCCCTCCAAGCAGCTCCCAGAGTCCTGGTTTATGCATTTGTGCACTGCATGCTGGGCCTTGTGCCAGGGGTTGGATACCTGAGCGGCCTTGTGCAGCTCCTGGGGTCCTGCTCCATGCACCAAACTGTGCACTGATGCTGCGCTCCTTAGCGACAGGGCTGGGGACGTGGCCGCTCGCCACTCCCGTTCAGCGAAGAAAACTTCAGGTTCTCCAGGGCAACTATTCTGCCCTGCTAGCCAGTTCTTACCAGCTCTCCTTCGCCTGCTCTCTTCGTCCCTCGTCGCAGCCAGCCCATGTGTCAGGCACGCTGCTCTTTTATTCCCTCTGGACGCTCCACCTCTGGATTGCAAATGGACCAATCAGGTTGAAGCAAAGTGCAGGCTTCAACTAGGTCTGCGTTCTGCCTTGCCCTGGGTAGCGGCGGGCAACCTCTTCCCCAGCAATCACCTGATTGGTGGAAGTGCTCCACCAATCACAAGGATGATTCTCCAAGCCCAGATGCACCAGGCTGCTATCGGTAAGCCACTTAAAAAACAAGCAGAAAAGTCACAATGCCTATGGCTCCAGGTCACCCACCCCCTGGGACTCGCAAAGCATGGGTGCAAGCACTAGTCCCACTCGCCCATGCTGAGGCATGTTGGGCTGTGCTTACTCACCCTCTGGTGATGACGTCGCATCACTTCACACGCCTGTGAATCAGTTCTGAATCAGTGACATTTTGGAACAGTTCTTATCCACACGGTTGTATTCTTTGTACAATGGCCAACTTCAGCAGGAGGCACCGAGGAATTTCATGTGCCAGCTTGGACTTATAGCATGCTAGTCAGGGCACTCTTCCAGGGGGTGGAGCTGTGGGTTTGAATCCTCTGCAGCTAAGGCAGCAGCCTCCCATTTCTTGAGCAAGTGCTTTAACCTGTAGGCTATTATATGACATGCAGGCACTACCTCAAGAGTTGTAGAGTTTTGCATTCCTACTCGGTGCTTTCCCACGCAAGCTTGGGTGCTGCGCCATTTAGGCCTACCAAGAAGGGAGCACTATTGCACAAGTGCAGAAGATAAGCTTTGTGTGCCTAATAAGTCAGGTTGGGGGTGGTTTGAGGATTGCACTCCTAGCCTTAGATGCTTTTTCATCCTTTCTTACGAATTCTTTTGGAGAGCCAGGATTATAGTCTGCAACTCATAACTCTTGATGTTTTCCCCACCAGTCTGTATTCCCTTTTGTTGTTGCTAGAAGGAACAAAACCCAGCATCGGGTTTGAGAATCTTTTCCTGGAGCTTTATTTTTAATAACAAACTAACGACAACAACCAAATCCTCCATTGCTTCAGACAAGAAAACCCACGGGAGACTTTTTGTTTGTCAGACATTGGTAGGATGCTGCCTTGAAGTTATAAGGCATTTAATTTTCCCCTGTGTTTTGGGCATTGTATAAATGTCTCAAAGGTTATTGCAACACTTGCAGTCCCTCTTAATTGATTTGCAAATCCATCTAGCAGATCTTAGTGATCAGTTCTGACAGCTTAAGACTTCAAGTCTCTGCGACTGTCACAGGGTGATAGTGAGAGGTCAGCCTTGTCTGGCCTGTCCAGGTTTTTTGCATGGAAGAAGGGAGGTTATTTCTTTTCTTTTACATGTTATACATTCGCACATGAATAGCAAGTCCACAGGATACCAAACTCCCAGTCATGTCCAGATAGTTGTTAGAGCCAAATTAGATTACAGAGCATCCATGGCATTGGTGTCTTATGCAGTAGATAACAGACTTTCACATTAGTAGCAGCTTGTAACTAAGATATATCTTTTATTAAAAAGCGACTACAGTAGCCTTCTCTCCATAGGAAGTCGTTGGAGGAGTCATCTTTCAGACCTTGATTTGTGTTGTTTTTTTGTGATTGCCTTATCTGTAAATATTTAATGGAGCCTGCTGGTAAATAATTCATTCTTTATTCATTGTTAAAGAATTTCCCCAAGCTCTTTATCTGAAAATGAATTCAAATAAGTAGTTTTTATTTAGCCCTTCTGCATCTTATTAAATCTGAAATCAGTGCTGTTCTAAAATGACAGAACCCTGTAATTTAGATATAGAGAAAGGCCTCTTGGGTCACCTCGCCCATCTGCCAGCCTGTTGAGCATATGTTTTAGCATTCAGTTCAGGCCTATTCTACTGCATAGGGTAATAGGGCTTCCATTGCTAGTTCTGGGAGACTTACATTCTTGAAGAAAATGTCACATAAGTATATTAATCTGGAGTAAAATCTTTGTGTGTGTGTGTGTGTGTGTGTGTGTCTCTCTCTCTCACACACACACACACACACACACACACACACACACACACACACACACGGATCCATTTC